CACTTCAAGTGACTCTGGCCTCTCTAAGACTGTAAAAAGTTGTATTTGGTGTCGTGCTGCCAAGAGCAGAAGCCAGAGCCTAAGTTCTCCTCGTGTTTGAGGTGGAACTCTGCACAGAGAAAACCATGGAGGAATCTGATATCTGCGGTTGGGTTTGGACATCCTCCGCTTTGCTACGATACGCACAGTAAGCTGTGTGGCCTCTGGAAAAATTGTTGGGAGACAGCTTGCCCCCCCCCCCCCCCCCCCCCCCACACACACACACACACACACACACACACCCACACACACACACACACACACACACACACACACACGTTGGTGTGTAGGCAAACGCAGGAAGCCTGCCAGTATCTGCTGGAGAACACCAACCGGCTCATTTGCTTACAGCTGACAAAGCAAGTCTTTAAAAACTGTACGCTTTCCCATCAGTTCATATAGCTCGGCTTCTGCAACATTCAGGAATCTTTACAGCTCTAAAGTTTTAAAAAAAGTTGAAAATAAAGGTTAACAACATATATGCTTACATACATGCATTTTAGCCCCTAAACAACAGAATCAGAAAGAACCGTACTTCCCATTGGTGCAGAAATGCAAACTTAAAACATTCCGATCTGATCACAAGGTGTTGGATCCGAGCCATAATCAATGCACTTTTCATCGATCGGTATCAAATAGGTGCAGCAACACTGATCCCTACTGACCTACGCTCTGTGGGTTTACGTCAGTCACGCTTTCATCAGGGGCAGGTGGTGGGCTCAAAGAGACCGGCAACCAATGAACATGTAAATTTATGTTTTCTCTGTTTAATTAAAGATAAAATTGTTCTGCTAAAACGTGAATAATAAGTCAGACGAATTATAAAATAACATGAGCTGAAGAAAACTAAAGCAAAAGGACAAGAAAGTTATGGAACATCGGACACTGGAAACATGGTTTCATCTACTAAGAAGATGTAATTTAGACAGAAGTCATGTTCCTCAGGGCTTCAGCAGAATAAAATAAAATACATTTGTTGTTAGCTAAATTTAAAGGTGTGGAGCACTGAAAAACCATTCTACACTCACAATTGTTTTGCTCGAAATTTCACGAGGCCACCAACTTCCCCCTGAGGCCATTTGTCATTCCTTTTCTAAAGATAAAAACTTGGTTGCAGAGGTTTTGCTAAATGGTTCAAGACTTACAGTGATAGTTGATGTTTTTTTCCTCAAGTGGGATTGTATGGAGTGGTTATGAGCAGGCAGTATATCCCCTGATAGCTTTGTAATCATAGTTTAAAAGGTGTGGAACAGTGAAAACCTATTTTTTAATGATTATTCCTGATTATTAGTCACTTTGAGTTCTTCATGCAGGCTGAACATGAAAATAGTCTCCTACACCCATGTCCTGCATTAGCTTCTGATAGAAAGTAGATGGTGAAAGTCTAGGATTTGAAAAGCCGACAGATCTATGTCACACTGTCAAGGATGGAAACAACAGATAAATATATTGTTAAGTCAGGCAAGCCAGACTTAACAATATATTATTTAGTCAGGCATCGCTCCATTGACGGCTCTTGGTCATGGGGCGGGTTCTACCGTTGGCTTTCAAATGATCTCTGCATGCTACTGGACAATGAACAACGTGACATACAACTGATGTCGGTAAACGAGGCGGTCCGCTGTGAAGGCGGCAAAAATACATCCTTTTTCTAAAAAAAAAAAACTTAAATACATCTAGCTGCTTCAGATTCTAATAAAGCCCAAGTCCAAATAGTCCAAAATTGATGTAAAAGCCTTTTCAAACGAGCTGTCGCCATTTTGTTTATGTTTATTTATTTAGCAGACGCTTTTATCCAAAGCGACTTACAATTTATAACCTATAGGGCATGTTGTGATCTGTGGGGGAAACCGGAGTACCCGAAGGAAACCCACGCATGCATGGGGAGAACACGCAACTCCATGCAGAAAGGCCGCAGCCGAGTTTCGAACCTGCGACCTATGTGCTGCGAGGCAACAGTGCTAACCACTGCGCCACCATGCAGCCCACTTTGTTGCATCATCCCACCCACCAGACGAATAGAGGGCCCTGATTGGCCCACAAAGTGGATAAAGCACTGTGATTGGTTCACAAAGCTGATAGACCGCTATGATTGGCCCATCATAATGGACCAATCACAGCTTTCAATGTGTTTGAAACCCTCCTAGAGAGTTGTGATTGGCCAGGTCTGGTTCACTTGGCTAGCAGATAGTCTGTGCTAGTAGAAGCTAATAATTAGCATTAGCAACTTCACCACACAGTTATTTGTAAAAATACAAAACATAAAAGTTGCAGTGCAAGCGGAGTCAGTGGTAGAGTTGTGTTGCTGTTAGCCGAGATGTTCAAATATCAGTAAACAAGTCTCCAAAACCTGTTGTCTGAACCTACTTTCGCTTCTGATGTGGGAATTTTCTAGTTCCAAAAGGGGGTCTTTACATTAAGTATACAAAAAATATGTATAAAACTACAGCCTAGACTAGAGGCTCTTTTATGCAATGTCAGGAATGCAGAGCTGTCAAGAGCACAGGTGGCAGGAACGGCCAATCACACATTAGCAAGTATCAGCAGAGCTAATAGATGAGCTTATGGACAGTTCTAATGGGAAGCACGCTTCAACACAAGCAGTTGCTTTCTGCTTGGTCCTAGTGCTCAACCAGTTCCGTGTCCATCACTTATATATCTTATTTTTTGACGGTGCAATGGCGGTGTTGTTGGCGACTTTAAATGAAGCAAGGTCCTGACCGATCACAAGATTTGCGGCCTCCGTCACTTTCAACAGATAGTTGAAAATTAGGGCATGTCTCAGTCAGCCTCTGCAAGGCCGTTGGAGAGCCCTTGTGCTAACGCCCGATGCATAATGGCATTGCCTGTCCCTGCACCCACGCAGACAGATGAGTATAAATTACGCTTTATAAGGCATTCATTCCTACTAGAGACCACTGCAAATGTATTGATCAAATGTTCCACACCTTTAAACTGTAAGAATCAAACTTAAGGAGGAGATCTAGGTACTTTATGTAAACTGTCGGGTTGTTATGACTAATAAAAGCCAGAGGAGTAGCCTCGTTGCAGGTTTTGATGAGAGCAGCTGGATTCTGCGTTAAAGCAGCTACAGTCAGGTCCATAAATATTGGGACATCGACACAATGCTAACATTTTTGGCACTATACACCACCACAATGGATATCACATGAAACGAACAAGATGTGCTTTAACTGCAGACTGTCAGCTTTTATTTGAGGGTATTTACATCCAAATCAGGTGAATGGTGTAGGAATTACAACAGTTTGCTTATGTGCCTCCCACTTGTTAAGGGACCAAAAGTAATGGGACAGAATAAGAACCATAAATCAAACTTATATATTTCAATACTTGGTTGCAAATCCTTTGCAGTCAATTACAGCCTGAAGTCTGGAACACGTAGACATCACCAGACGTTGGGTTTCATCCCTGGTGATGCTCTGCCAGGCCTCTACAGCAACAGTCTTCAGTTCCTGCTTGTTCCTGGGGCATTTTCCCTTCAGTTTTGTCTTCAGCAAGTGAAATGCATGCTCAGTCGGATTCAGGTCAGGTGACTGACTTGGCCATTGCAAAACAGTCCACTTCTATCCCTTCAAAAACTCTCTGGTTGCTTTTGCAGTATGCTTTGGGTCATTGTCCATCTGCACTGTGAAGCGCCGTCCAATGAGTTCTGAGGCATTTGGCTGAATATGAGCAGATAATATTGCCAGAAACACTTCAGAATTTATCGTGCTGCTTTTGTCAGCAGTCACATCATCAATAAATACAAGAGAACCAGTTCCACTGGCAGCCATACATGCCCACGCCATGACACTTCCAGCACCATGCTTCACTGATGAGGTGGTATGCTTAGGATCATGAGCAGTTCCTCTCCGTCTCCATACTCTTCTCTTCCCATCACTCTGGTACAAGCTGATCTTGGTCTCATCCATCCATAGGATGTTGTTCCAGAACTGTGAAGGCTTTTTTAGATGTTGTTTGGCAAACTCTAATCTGGCCTTCCTGTTTTTGGGGCTCACCAGTGGTTTACATCTTGTGATGAACCCTCTGTATTCACACTGGTGGAGTCTTCTCTTGATTGTTGACTTTGACACTGATACACCTACCTCCTGGAGAGCGTTCTTGATGATCTGGCCAACTGTTGTGAAGGGTGTTTTCTTCACCAGGGAAAGGATTCTTCGGTCATCCACCACAGTTGTTTTCCGTGGTCTTCCGGGTCTTTTGGTGTTGCTGAGCTCACCGGTGTGCTCCTTCTTTTTGAGAATGTTCCAAACTGTTGTTTTGGCCACGCCTAATGTTTATGCTATCTCTCTGATAGGTTTCTTTTGTTTTTTCAGCCTAATGAAGGCTTGCTTCACTGATAGTGACAGCTCTTTGGATCTCATCTTGACAGTTGACAGCAACAGATTCCAAATGCAAATAGCACACTTGAAATGAACTCTGGACCTTTGATCTGCTCATTGTAATTGGGATAATGAGGGAATAACACACACCTGGCCATGGAACTGCTGAGAAGCCAATTGTCCCATTACTTTTGGTCCCTTAACAAGTGGGAGGCACATATGCAAACTGTTGTAATTCCTACACCGTTCACCTGATTTGGATGTAAATACCCTCAAATAAAAGCTGACAGTCTGCAGTTAAAGCACATCTTGTTTGTTTCATTTGATATCCATTGTGGTTTTGTATAGAACCAAAAATGTTAGCATTGTGTCGATGTCCCATTATTTATGGACTTGACTGTATACTTATCGTTTCTGCTGCTGCAGAACTGTCATGTTAAAATCAGAAGCACAAATTTTAAGTAAACTAAACTGTTTTTGTGCTGCATCGAATACTGAAAGAGGAAACCCTGGGTGTTCCTGCTCATCCATGTCCATGAGGGGTATATACCTATAAAGGGACCAGTGTTACACAATAATACCCAGCTCTCAGCAGCGGATATCCCTCCCTGTACGTACCGTGAGGCTCCAGTTGACTTGAGGAACCTTGATATGAAGGTTCAGACTGAAGAGCAGCAGCAAGACTCCCGTCACCACGAAGGCACTGCAGCTGACAAACTCAAAGAAGTAGACGCCTTCACAGAGAGAACACGACATGATTGTTTCTATGCAGATGAAACCGATGAGCGAAAAAATCTGGAGCGAGAAGAAAAACAAGGAGACAGTTAGGTATGAAAAGCGGGACATGTAGAATGGTGTTTGCCTAAAACAGAAACAATAATATAAAAGTAGGTCACTGAGCGCAATTTGCATTCATTATACAGCAGTAGAGCTCATTATGTAAAACAATGTTCATCAAATTATTCCTCTTCTAAACTGTGATTAAATAAAAAAAAATCTGAGGAATGACAGCAGTGCATTTCTAACAAAAAATAAGATTCTTCAAAAGAGGCCATATCATGGAAAATCCACTGTTAGGAGTGCGTTACCTAATTATATGGTTATTTCCTCATTAACAATACCCCCAAACCCGTTTTTGGCTGCATTCATGTATTTTATTGTCTCAAAAGCAAATTTTGAGTTTTACTTTGAAAAGCCTGCAGAAGCCTTGATGGAAACTATCCATCCATCCTCTGGACCCGCATGTCCATGTAGGGTCGTGGGGGGTGGGGGTGGTGCCTATCTCAAGCGGTCAATGGGCAATCAGGTGGGGTACACCCTGGACAGAGTGCCAGTCCATCGCAGGGCAACACACACACACAAAGGACAATTTAGACAGACCAATCAACCTAACAGTCATGTTTTTGGACTGTGGGAGGAAGCCTGAGTACCCAGAGAGAACCCACGCATGCACAGGGAGAACATGCAAACTCCATGCAGAAAGATCTCAGGCTGGGAAGTGAACCCAGGACCTTCTTGCTACAAGGCAACAGCTCTAACCACTGTGCCACTGTGCAGCCCCTAATGGAAGCTAATAAAGCCTAATTTATACTTCTCCATCTGCGTCAGGACAGAGACACGCAACGCCATTATCCGTCCTTGCGGGCCTGCTGGAGAGCCCTCGCAAGTACGAACGCAGTCAAGCTCTCTTATATCCGTCTGACTAGATGAAGAACGCATGCTTGCGATTGGTCAGGATGACGCTGTTGTCAACAGCGCCGCCATTGCACTCTCAAAAACAAAGAGAGCCGAGGATATCTAGTGGCAGACACGGAGCAGCTTGAAGAATCCCTCGCGGAAAAACTCTACAAATATGAACGTTTTATTCACCTGTGACTGGAGGAGTGAAAAGATGTGCAGCAAGAAGTATAAGTTAGGATTTAGGATTTCAGTGGGTCATCAGATCCTACCCTTCCCCCTGAAGAGCTAGTCTCACATCTGTGACCCGCCTCCCTTAGACGTAGGTCACTAACGCCCACTTTCTCCTAGATGCGGGAATAAAGCAGTTGATGCAGCAGCTGAAAATGTGACCTTCATGTCGTCATGCTTTAAACCTCCACCAGTACCAGAGTGAATATTCTGACAAATTATTACTGCATTGGGAACAAAACACTGCCGTAAAAACCGTGCATCCTGTCAACAAAGATGCACGTAACGGCCAGCACAGGGTATGTGGGTTAGGCGACTACTGACTTGTAACAGACTTGGTCTGGTTGAAGGAACTGACTGACATGCTGTCATGCACTGGTTTGAGTCGCGGCAGTAACCTTTTGTCTTCTTTTTTTTAACTACACTTGTGAGTATTATGTTTTCAACCCTTTATTAGTAAAATGTTTAAATATCAGGACTAATCGTTTTTCTTTTTTTTACTTTCTTTGTTTATTTAGCCAGTGTGAGTCCATGTGAGGCGAACAGAGCAAACCAACTAAAATGCTGCTTAAAAGAACCGTTTCATTTTTGGGTATCAATTCAGGCTGACGAAAATAACTCATACTCAAAAGTGCCAACGGTAATATTTGACCAAATATTGAGTCTACCTTTGCTCTCAAAGGTTTAAAATAGCATGATCTGGATCCTTTAAGTTGATCAGTTTTTGTTGATGACTGAGTGTTCAAACATTTATCCGTCTGTGAGCACGCTGACATCCCAAACGTTCCAGGCTATAAAGCGATTAGACAGGAAGGCCAATAGCTGGTCTCCTGAGAGCCGCTGCTGGCAGCCAGTGATGATGTTCGACTTTCACAAAGAAACCAAACTATGAGAGGAATTTAGCTTTTTTTGGTCTTCCTTTGCCATCCACATGAAAAACAAAAAAATAAATAACCCACAGAAGTTTCAGCCTTACTCTGGCATAAAAAAAAAACCCAACCCAAAACTAAATAAGAAGAACGTCACTTTTACACGTCTTCTGAGGTTTCCTAAAAATTGTGCCTAATAGAAGAAAACTATTTGCACAGAAATGTGAAAAAAGAAAATGTGGGATTTAAGACAGCTCATGTGGGAACGAATGAGACAGTTAAGATCTTTTGTTCACGTTTCCCACATTTTCCCTGAAAACAGCAAACTTCAACAAGAAAAAAAGCACATAATTTTATAGTTCCAGCTGAGCTCACAAAACACGTTAGAATTATCATTTTCGCTAACGTTTTGTCATTTAGGTGCAACTTTCAATCATGATTGAACAATATTAAATCTGAAGTGATTGTTCAACTGTTGGTTGTTATGATAGAAGGTTTTAGTTAAATATTTCATATAAGAGACAAACACAGTGGAGAAGTAAAACGATGTTTATAGGATTTACAGAAAAGTGTGCAATAATTGTTGAAACAAAAGTGGGCAGGTGCATACATTTGGGCAAAAAGAAGAAATTAATGAAATATTTTTGCAGAAATAACGGTCTCCAAAGCCTTCCCAAATCTTCCATTGAGAGCCTGGATTCTGGTTGAAGGTTTTTTGGACCAGGCTGCGCAGTGGTGCAGTGGTTAGAGCTGTTGCCTTGCAGCAAGAAGGTCCTGGGTTCGCTTCCCGGCCTGGGATCTTTCTGCATGGAGTTAGCATGTTCTCCCTGTGCATGCGTGGGTTCTCTCCGGGTACTCCGGCTTCCTCCCACAGTCCAAAAACATGTCTGTTAGGTTAATTGGTCTGTCTAAATTGTCCTTAGGTGTGTGTGTGATTGTTTGTCCTGTGTGTGTCTGTGTTGCCCTGCGATGGACTGGCTCTCTGTCCAGGGTGTACCCCGCCTGATTGCCCGTTGACTGCTGGAGATAGGCACCAGCCCCCCCGCGACCCTACATGGACAAAGCGAGTTCAGAAAAGGGATGGATGGTTTTTTGGACCATTTTTCTTTACTAAACATCTCTAATTCATTCAGGTTTGATGGCTTCTGAGCATGGACAGCTCTCTTTTACTCACACCACCGATTTTCAATAATATTCAGGTCTTTATGACCCACGTTCTATAACTTTTGCTTTGGGCAAAGTCAGAAAACTAATTCACAAAATTTAAGACGTTACTTAATTTAAAGATAATAAAATGTTTTGCACTTTTAATGCTGCACTTTGAGGTGCACCCTTGTTTCCTACCTGAGCTTGGTTCTCCACTCAGATTAATAATTCCTCTTTTTATGTTACTGAGAATATACACTCACCGGCCACTTTATTGGGTACACCTTGCTAGTAGTAGGTAGGTAGGTAGGTAGGTAAACACATTGCTTCCACAGCAACACCTATGCAGCAGGTGGCAGGTGAGATCTCTCCTGTATAATCTTGTAAGTGGTGATTTTCAGTCAACCTTCAATTCTTTGCAACCCGTTTATCATCGTGCATGAACATAATCTAATTCCTGCATCCCCTGTATGCAGGCACATTCTAACCTGTAGGACTTAACACACTGTTAGCTGCCTTTAAAGGCGTATTGGACTCTGATCCCCTTCTTAAGCACCATCTGCTGTGATACAGTGTTCATGGAGGAGGAAGGAAGCCTCACTGTGGATTTGCGTTACACTATTTGCGGTCCCTCTTTGGGACCTCGTAGAAAAAGAACTTACCCAATAAGTTGAATTCAGCAGGAGCCCCACTTTCATTTAGGAGACTAAAAATGAACTGAATATGGATTAAATTTCCTCCCTGAGGGTAAAGTAAGAGTGTGTTTTTGCCCTCACACACAACAGGATTCATGTTCCTCACATGCATGAATGCACACGATTATTGTTGCCTTTATGAATTATTTTAAGTAAAGTTTAAACCACATGGGAGTGAAACACATGGTGTCTCTTTCAGAGGAGGAAGTGTGTGCTGACATTAGAAAGCATCTGGTATCTTCATTTCACAACATCCACGATAAAAAGGCCTCACTGAATTATTTCATGGCTTTAGTTGGAATAATACTTGAAACAATTGTAGCTATGGTCTGAAACTGAATTTGTGTATGAACTCTTACTTATTAAGGCAGAAGGTCTGCAGGGAAACAAGGAGATTAATGGAGCGTTGTGAGGCCCTGAGAGGTTTCAAATTCTTGTCAGCGCAGACAGACAAGAGGCAAATATCAGCGTGGCGGCCCAGTCACAGCGCAGGAACAAAGGCAAACCTGTCGCTGTGACAAACGCGCCTTAGTCAGATTACACCCAGCAGCGAGGTGCTTCTGATCAGAGCGGGGGTCAGCAGCAACCCACCACGCCACACGAAAGTAAAACGTAAAAAGCACACAGGTTCATTTTATGGTGGTCCTCGGTTTTATCCAACTATTAACACGTACTTCCTTTAACATCCGTTTATCATAGAACCTTGGAATGTTTTCCCTTTTTGACATTTTAGTTAGATAAGTTATGTTTTACAAGGTCAATGCTAAGGTCCTGCTTGTCTAGACCAATCCACTTTTCTGTCTACACAAATATATGGAAATCAGTAGTTTGCAAACGACAGCGGGCGACCTGTGCAGGTAAATGCCATGTCTAGTCTTCAAAGCACTGCCGTGGTAAACTCTTTCCTTTTAGTGTTGCAGTGATGTCAGCGACAAGATAATCTCCATCAAATGCTGCAACTCTGTCAATCTTACTGATACTGAGACCTGGTTATGTGTGACAGTAGCTGAGAGTCAACCCGGCAATAGCAGATCTCGTGACACTGCATCATATAATATGCATTAGGTTATTTAAAAAAGGTAATTACGACAGATATACCCTTATTTCATTTATCAACATGGGATCCCCTAGGAGGACTACTCACTGGTCTACGTGACTATAGAATGAAAATAAAGCT